GGAGATCAGGGGAGACCTGCCGAGAAACCTGCCTACCCAGACGTGCTGCCAGCAAGCCACGCCAGCTCTTGGCAATGCTGTAGGACAGAGTGTGGTTTCCAAGGCTGTAAATCTTGACAAGCAGACTGTTTGCTACACCTCTCACCCCTGGGACAAATGGTGGGCTCGAACCACTGACCTTTTGCTTATCAGCCATTGTGCCTCCAGGTCTTCCTGGAAGCCTCCATCCCTCATGTGAATCACGTGACTTTGTCCTCTCTGCCCATCCGCCCACCCACGTGCCTTTATGAAGCACATTGAGATGTTTGACCCTTGGTCTTCACAGTTACCTCAGACGCAGCTCCAGAAACCCCTTTGCTAATATAGGCTGTGACATTACACCTCTATTGTCAATGTGTCCCTTTTTAAAAAGTGACTGTAACTGTTCTTCAGTACTTGGAAAGCAGGGACAATGCAGTAAATTTGTCATAGAGCTCAATTTTTTTTTAAAAAATAGCATTCAGTTTATTACAAATATTTAGTATAGAGCTCAAATTTTTTTAATTCAGAGAAACTTAAATGTACTATAACACTTTTTTCTATGGGATGGGGTGCAAAATCTTTGGGTCATGAGAAAGTGCAGTGATGTGACAGTGGGTAAGGCATCCTTTGTGGATGGCGGCATGTCCTATGTGGATGGTGGTGTGTCCTGCATGTACAGTGACATGTCTTGGGTGAATGGTGACAAATCCTGGGTGGATGGTGACATATACTGGGTGGACAGCGAGGGCTGACCCCTTTCCGCCTTGCTGCTCACACGTTCATTCTGAAAACCTGGCACCCTGTGTTTTTTGTTCCTTATACTGATTTCAGCTTGTGCTAAGATTTTCTTTTTTAATATTTTTACATTTTCTTACTTTTGTTTTTATCATTTTGCCACATGTATTTCTCTTGTAAGCAGATACCCAGATGCCTTGCTGTGGAGCCCAGTCTAACTGACAGTGACCCTGCACGAGGGGTAGAGCTGCCCCCTCAGAATCCAAGGCTGTGAATTGTTAAGGAAGCAGATGCCCTCTGTTGAGCGGCTGGTGGATTTGAACCACTGACCTTTCAATTTGCAGCCTGATGATTAACCCACTGCACCACCAGGTTCCTTCCCACTTTTGTTGTAAGCCATTTGAACTCAAAGGGCACACTGTAGCATCTTAATAATGATCCCTTGCACGATAGACTCAATGGACTTTCCCATCCTTGGGCATTTTATATTATTCTTTTACAGATTTAAGTTGCAGGCCCTTTGTAATATTTGGGGCAGTATTGTATTATAAACAGTCCTTAACTTCTGACAGCCTTCTCTTCTGAAGACTTGTATATCAGTTCTGATAAAAGTTGAATACCTCACACACAGACACCCCCCCCATTTTTATGATTAGTGTCATTAGAAATACGAGTTCCTTTAGGGGTTGGCAAGAGATTGATAAAATCAGTTATCAGCTGCAACACCAAATATCCTACGTAAAGCTATGAACGTGCTTATGAGCTGTTCAGAAATGAAGACAGAGCCAGAACAGATGGTGGAAAGGCCATTGTGTCATAACTCAAATACGTAAGTTGGGGTGTACCTGTGCTGTGTCTGTCTTGGTTCTGTTGGGGTCACACTGTGACTTACTTTGTGTCTTGTGCTGACAGCTCAGTTCCTAGCTGTCCTCATCTCTAGACTCGGGGGTGCTTTTCCTGACTCAGGAGTTCACGGGCGGATGGGTGAGCTGTGGAGCCAGGATCCTGCTTAGGGCAGCTGAATCTCGACCATCCTGCAAATCTGTGTTCATAGTGTCACTGAGTCATCGTCAACTTGACGGCATCTAACGGCGCAGCAACACCTGCTTCCATGTTTGTGAGTGGTCCTACCGTCCATCTAACGAGCTGGATCGGTCTGATTCCTGCTCTTCTCCCCTCCTCTGTGCACGTGGCTGCCTGGGTCTGGGGATCGTTTTCCCCTCAGACACCTCCAGGATCCATCCCTGCCTGCCTGCCCCTCCACTGTCCATTTTGGGCCCTCCCCATCATGTGTGTTTATTCTACATGCGTGAAAGGAACAGGGGCTCAGTGACGGTGCCCTCGTAGAGCCCGCTGTCCACGTGGTGTTGGCTCCTGCCAGCAGCATCAGCCCCCCTGCCCTCCAGCGGCCCCCTGCCCTCCGGTGGCCCCCTGTCTTGTAGCATTCTCCTGCCCTCCAATGGGCCCCTGCCCTCCAGTGGCCCCGTCTTCTAGCGTTCTCCTGCCCTCCAGTGGCCCCCTGTCTTCTAGCATTCTCCTGCCCTCCAATGGGCCCCTGCCCCCCAGTGGCCCCCTGCCCTCCGGTGGCCCCCTGTCTTCTAGCATT